TAGCTTGCTATGTATATATTTACATATTGTTCCCCCCCATTAGATTGTAAGCTCTTTGAGAGGAGGGACTGTTCTTTACCTCTTTTTGTATCCCCATAGCTTAGCACAGTGTCTGGTACATAGTAGGCACTTCATAAAAGTTTATTTATTGATTGACATTAAGTTGTACTAAAATATATCATGATGGGGAAAGGAACTAGAGATATTACTTGTCCTCCTGAGAGGACCTGTATCTTTCCGCTTGAACATTTTGTGTAGAATATCATGTTTTTATGCAGAGGTTCTTTCTAGCATTCTATTTGCTACCAAATGCTTTCTCTCAAGCAAAGGCCTAGTTCTAACCTGGGATTGGACCTCATATAATTGACCTGGAGATAGAAATATTGGGACCTCAGGAAAAGACCTAGCATCACCCTCTAAACAGGGCTTCAGATGGCAGACCTGAGAAAACCTAGTGCATGTTCCCTTCATGGAATATCTTCTGGGTATGCCTCTTCTAATGTCTTAGGATATAACTACTGAAATGGGGCCATATGTAAATTCAGACCATTCTTTAGGAACCCAGACCTTCAGGTTAAACTCCCTGCCACCACCACTCCTTTCGTTATTGTAGATGGAACACTATACCACCACCTTCCATTATTATCAAAAGTAGAGACCCCAACCAATTGGTACCTGTCAATATCAGATTTGTTTCTTTGATTACCCTATTAGCCATGATTTAGAGTACCCACCTCCCTGGGTGAAGTTACTTTTCTCTGCTACTTTTTTCCATAGTCTTGTCTCTATCTAGCTTGTCATATCATTATTCCTTTGTCCTACAATCTCATCTCAATCATTAGCAAAAATCCCTTCATACTTGGTTTCTTCTTTTCACATGTTTCATAGTATGCTCAGGGAACCTATTCTCCAGGAGATAGTGCAACCCTGACACCCCTCTTCAGTGCTGATTGCTTCTTATCTTGCGTCTCCTGATACATTTGGCCAAATGGAAAAATTGGGATACTCTTTACTTCCCACTACCACTTCTAGAGCCTTCCACTGGCACCATTACTCAACAGCATCTCTTCTCTGGGGTTCATTTCATCCATGTATATAATCTTTATGTTATAAAGGGGATTCCTTTATGTATGGGTTGCACTTGATGGCCACTGTAGTTCCTTCCAACCCTCCCCTCTTCCAGTCTCCTCATTACTGTCTCCCAGACACCCACCCTTGGTATCATCCTTGGTTCTTCACTCACATTCACCCCATATATCCACTCTCAGATTTCATCATTTCTACCTTCACAACATCTCGAATAGGTCCCCTTCTCTTCACTCACACAGCTACTAACTAGTCTAGTACAGGTCCTCATCACCTCTCACCTGGACTGTTGCAATAGCCTTCTCAACTGGTCTCCCTAATTCAACCCATCCTCCATCCAGCTGCCAAAGTGATTTTCTTAAAGTGCAAAATGATTCCCCATTTCCTGTAAGATAAGATGAAGATTCATTAGCCTGATGTTAAAGGTTCTCTACATATCATTCCTCTGCTAAATAAACTCCAGCAGCTCCCTGTTATATGATTAAATACAAGGTGTCCCAAAACTCTTAGTGGAGTTTTAAGCCATAACTTAAAGACACCCTGTATAAAGTTCTCTGTCATTTAAAGCTCTTCAAAACCTGGCCCCTTCTAACCTGTCCTGTCTTTATAGTTTACTCCCCTTCAAACATGCCCTCAATCACCTCTGCCATCTGCTTTCACTTCTCACAATGCCAAGCCCAGTCCTGCTTAAGGTAGCGACACCATCATGCTGTCTAGATATGCTACAAGTTTATATTCTCTGGTATCAACTGGGCCTTCAGTGCTGCATCACAAAACTTTTATTCTCCTTTGTTGATTCTCAGCACTATTCCCTTCTGGGACTATTTCAAACCTTCCCTTGTTTCCTCAAGCTCCCAATACCTCCCTTCCCCTTTATTATTCTCAACAGATGTCCTTACCTCCTACTTTACTGAGGACATAGAGACCATCTACTATTTCATCCTTCTTCTACTGTGCTTTTATCAGAACTCTTCCCTTAGCTTCTCCTCCTTTACCCAATCTCTGAAGAAAAGTTGACCCTTTTTGCCTAGGCCAACCCCTCTGTTTGTCCCTTGATCCCATCCTTTTCCATCTCTTCCATGAGCTTGACTCCAGTGATCATTCCCTCTCTGATCTTCAATCTGCCCTCATATATTAACTCTTCTTCCACCCCTCAAAACATGCTGAGAGGTCTTTAATCTTGACTGGACTGCCATTCCCTCAGTCTGTTATCTTAAATCTCACTTCCTTTTCACTGTCAAATTCCTAGAATGAATTATTTGATTTTGCTACCTTTGCTTCCTTATCACCTAATAATCACTTCTCAGCCCTTTCCAGTCTGGCTTTTGGCTTCACCACGTTACTGAAACTGATCTTGCCAAAGTTACTAGTTAGTTCTTAACTTTTAAAATCCAAACCAACCTTCTTTCGGGCCTCATCCTCCCAGACCTCTCTGCTTTTTTTTTTTTTGGATGTTATCAACTATTCTGTCTTTTTAGATATCCCCTCCTCAGCATCATCTAAGGCTCTGTACTGAACCTTCTTTCCTTCTCTTTCCACTTAACAATACCTTCAGCTTCCTTGGATTCAAAGTATCATTGATACACAACTGACTCATTTATTTGTTTGTTTGTTTATATCCCTCATCTCACTCCTGAGCTTTAGTCACACATTGCTAATTCCCAGCTATATATCTTGTCTTGAATGTCTTGAAAGCATATAGAACTCGTTATCTTACCCCCTAAACCAGCTCCTTGTTTTTGTTGAAGGATCACCATTCTTCCCAGCTGTGGTTTTTAACTTCAGAGTCATCCTCGACCCTTCGCTCACTTTTATTTCCCATTATCCTATCAGCTGCCATCTCTTATCAAATTTACCTCTACTATGTGTCTCACTTCTATTCGCTTAGTCACATGGCCACCACTCTGGTCCCCTCAGCTGCCATAGTAATCTATTATTCAACATTCCCATGCTCAAAAACATTTCATGATTTTCTCATTGCCCATAGGATAAAATGTAAATTCATTAGCCCCCTATATCCTTTCCCAGACTTATTTTTACTACTCCCCTTCATGAGTTTTACATTCCAACCAAACTTAAAATGTTTCTCTTGTTCAAACTTCACAGAACAAGTCCTTTTATTAAGGGATTTAATAATTATTAAGGGATTAATTTAATAATAATTACTAAGGGATTTTATAATTTAATAATTATTTATTAAGGTATTTAATAAAAGGGTTTGTTCTATGTTCTGTGAAGTTTGGATTCAGGCAAAAGGCTGCACTTGAGGACCTAGAGAGCCACATGTGGCTTCGAGGGCACAGGTTCCCCACCCCTGCCCTAGTTTATGTGGGTCTTCTTGACTTGATTTTTTTTGCTTATCAATTGGTTAGTCATTTAAGTATGTCATGCTCAGTAACAGAACAGAGTAAGTACTCATGTGTTTTAATGGGTCCTGAAAATCATTGGCTGTTTCATTCTTTCCCCTATTCTTTTGACTTACCGTTGGTCCATTTTACCGCAGTAATCTTGCAAAACAGTGTACTTCTTTTCATATTTACTTCAAGAACAAAATCTGCAGAAAAGCTCATGTAGTTCTTGAGATTTTACTGGTCCGGAAACAAAAACAAAACAAGACCAAATGTAATAATTTTGCTGAGTTCTAGAGTGAACACAACCATTTGGAGCTTTTAAAATAAAATATAAAAATCAAAGTGATTAAAAGGAGGTAGAGGAAAATCTGGCAATCTAGCTTTTATCAGTGCAACTCATATTTTCTAAAACTGTTGACCAGAGATCTCTGATAAAGTCATACACCACAGCTTTATTGTGGTATGACGATAACACTGGCTTCTTAAAGGCTCTAATAGTATAGTACCAGCTTTGACAGGACCCAGCACCAAGTGGGAAAGGCTTTAAGTACAGGATAGTGATGGACTGTGTCATCCAAGGACTACCCTGTCTGGAGAGCCTCATCACCAGAAGGTGGGGCCAGCAGGTGATTCATTTATTCAGACACAGCAGCCTATGGAGCCTATTAAGATATAGAAAGGGAGCAGCTAGGTGGCGCAGTGAATAGAGCTCCAGCCTTGAAGTCAGGAGGACCTGAGTTCAAATCAGGCCTCAGACACTTGACACTAGCTGCGTGACCCTGGGCAAGTCACTTAACTCCATTGCCTAACCCCCCCCAAAAAATAAAAGATATAGAAAGGTTGCAATTTATATCTTCGCCGGGGTGTGGAGGTTTTGGGTTATGCAATTCTCATACATATGAAATAGGTTTTGACCAGTACATGAAAACATTTTCTGAATTGATACAAACCACTTAAATTCCTAGTTATATTTGCATTTCATAATGTTTTTAACTTTTTCAAAAGTACTTTCATATACCTTTACTTCTTTTTTATCTTAATGTTCCTGGACTATTGAGCTATTTCTCTAAGGATTAGAAATATTCTAACAATAGAATTGGAAGCCTTTATTGTTCCTTCACATATACATAAAGTAAACTGTGTAAGACTGAGCCTGTTTATCTGTTCCAGTATTGGCGATGGGGAAAAGGTCACACAGTAAAATTTTATCTTTGTTGTGACTAATCATATGATAATAGTGTAGCCTAGAAGCAAATAGAACTAGATTATCTAGGTGGCTTTTTATATGACTGTAGTCTAAGAGGAGATCTCTAGATTCATTCATTCAACAAGCCTAAGTGTAAATAAATCATACGTATTAAGTGTATGAAACATCATGTGTGTCAAGTGCATTAATCATGAACAAAAGATAATGAAATCCAGATACTGAAAATCATTGTTCTTTAGGTTTAGCTAGAAGAGCGCTAAGAGAATTCATACTGTGCCCTTCTTATTTTAAAAAAAAAAAACCTGACCAAAAAAACTTAATTGCAGTAATGTAATGCTGTTTTCTCTTCTTCCCAGTTAAAATGTGCACAATATTGGCCACAAAAAGAAGAAAAGGAAATGATCTTCGAAGATACAAATTTGAAATTAACATTGATTTCTGAAGATATAAAATCATATTATACAGTACGCCAGTTAGAATTGGAAAACCTTACAGTGAGTATGGAATATCCTTAAGTACTCAACAAGCATTTATTAAGCCCCTGCTAAGCGTAGCATTGTGCTAGGTGCTGGGGAAAAAATGGTAAAAGTGCAACAGTCTGTGCCCTCAGGAAGCTTATACTCTTATCAGCGAGCTAAGATGTTCAAATATTGGTATGTATAAAATATATACAAAGCAAATACAGGGTGACTTTGAGGAGAAGGTACCAGCAGCTGAGAGAATTAGTCACTGTGCATTTATTAAATGCTATATGGCAAGTGCTGTTTAAGCACTGAAAATACAAAGAAAGACAAAAGCATGGTCCTACCCCCAAGGATCTCACATTTTAATAAGGAAGACAACCTGAAAATAACTATGTGTACTAAGAAATAACATGCATGATATATACAGTGTAAATGGAAGGTAATCTCAGAGGGAAGGCATTAGCAGTAGGGGACCAGGCTGGGCCTCCAGGGAGTGGGACTTGAGCTGTCATACAGGGAAGCCAAGAGCCAGAGTTGAGGAGGGAGAGCATTCCAAGTATGGAGGGGACAATCAGTGAAAAGGCATTTGGTTGAGATGGAGTGTCTTGTGCAGGGAATTGTAAGGAGGCTAATGTCACTGGTTCACAGAATACATGGCAAGGGATGGGCAGGGTATGTAGTATAAGAAGACTGGAAAGGTAGGAAGGGGCCAGGTCATAAAGGCCTTTAAATGCCAAATGGGCATCTTATATTTGATTGTAGATGTATAGAGAGCTACTGGAGTTCATTAAGTAGTGGGGTGACGTGGTTAGGCCTGTTAGTTTAGAAGATCACTTTGGCACCTAAGTGGAGGATAGATTTCGATAGGGAGAAGTTATTTGAGGCACTGAGACCAGTTAAAGAGAATGGCAGTAATTTAGGTTAAAGTTGGTAAGAGCGTGAACTGGGGTGGTAGCTGTGTGAGTGAAGAGGAGACCTATGTGATAGATTTTGTAAAGTTAGAAATGACAGGATTTGCCAAGAGATTGGATTGAATGGGATTAAAGAATAAAAGATGAAACTGAGGTTGCAAGCCTCAAGACCAGGAAGATAAGTGGTGTCCTCAGCAACAGTGGGGAATTTGAGAAGAGGAAAGGGTTTGGGGAGGAAAGAGAATGAGTCTTGCTTGAATGTGTTGAAGTTGAGGTGCCTACAAAGATATCCAATTTGAGATGTGCAGAAGGCACTTGGCGATGCAAGACTGCAGCCCAGAAGAGAGATTAGGGCTAAGTGCATGCACATAGGGGCAGGGTGACCCCCCCCTTCTCCCACCCTCACCCAATATCATCTCATTTGCATAGAGATGATAGTTGAATCCCTGGGTGCTAATGAATTCACCAATTGAGATAGTATAGAACACAGTTCTGGAAGTGTGCTGTAGGGGTCCTTGAGATCCTTTTAGGAGGCCCATGAGTTCAAAACTTTCTTATATTAGTTCTTTCCCAAATAAACTATAAGCTATTTATGGGCAATACATGTTTCACTTATCTCCATACTAAGAAATAGCATGGTTTTTGGAGCCTGGTAACCCAAGACTGATAATACTTGATGTCCAGACATGTGATCTTTAAGTCACAACCTATTCATTTGCATTAAACTAAATAAATTTTTATGGTAAAAATAAAAATTTGAGGTAGGGAGAAGAAATGAAGGAAAAATGAAGATAATGAGGATCAAAGCTAAAATGGTCAATTTCAGTTGCCTTTCAGTGGACAAATTCTAAAGCTCCTGTATGTGCAAAATATTGTTGAAGGTGGTATAGGGGAAACAAAGAGGAGTTCAGAGATAGTCTCTACCCTCATATAGCTTACAGGTTAGTTGGGAAGATGAGTCCTAAATACAAGAAAAATTAAATAATGTTACAGTGGTTGATAGTGGTAGACAGAAGTGCAAAATCATGCTACAAGACAGCGTGATATATTGGAAAGATCTTTAAATTTAAAGACCTGAGGATGAATCCCAGTTCCATTACCCAGTGAGTAACCTTGGGCAAATCACTTAACATCTCAGCTTCCCCCACCATAAAATGAGGGGCTGGAACTGGAAAAGGTCTAAGGTTACTCCCAGTCTAAAGCTATGACTCCATGATCTTCAATAAGTGTTATGAGCTCAGTGTCATATTACTTTGGGCTAGAATAGTTTGGGAAGATTTCATGGAGAAGGAGGAGCTTGATTTGGGCCTCAAAGAATGGTTAAGATTTGGAAAGGTAAAGAAAAAGGAATAATGTTAGGAAACATATTGTAATGTATACCTGAGTTTTGATGTCTTAAAGTCTTGTTTTTCTTCACATTATTATTGTGTATGTTTTCTTGGTTCTGCTGATTTTGCTCTGTTCATAGAAGTGGAAGTGACTTTTCCAAGGTCACTCAGCATATCATTAACAGTTGGGACTACGGCCTAGGTCCTCCAACAGAATTTTGAGTCTAGTGCTCCAAACGTTAGTGTGAGTTAAAGAAATATGTACATCTTAAAGTGACATTTTTTTTAGTTTACTCTGATATTCCAGGTCATGATAATTAAGAACTATCCAAGAGTTAATATTTCTTCTGAGAATTAAAGCTGTATTTACCACTGTTCTATTGGAAAGGTACTTTCTGTTCTGAGTATCTCTGCCTTTCCAAAGTTATTAGGCACAGTTCACATCACTTAACCTCTAAGCAACCTACCTTGCCTCCAAACTGAACTGGATTTCTACCTGCCATTTCACAGTTCCATGTGTTAAAAAAGGCCATCCCTGGTGCGTGGACTGCATCCCTCCTCAGCTGTGCCTTTCAGAATCTTTATTTTCCTACGAGGCATAGCTCAGGTGTCACATACTCCACATGGCCTTCCCTGATTCTCCCAGATGAAAATACCCCCTCCTTCATCAAATATTCAAAGAACACTTTGTATGGACCTCTATGCCTTCATTATTATCTATTTTGCATTGTATTTCTCTTTGTACAAGTTGTATTCCCTGCCCTAAGTATAATAATAATAGCTATCATCTATAAAATGTTTGAAGCTTACAAAGCACTTCTCCTAGAACATCAGCTCCTACAGGACAAGATTGTTTTCATTTTTATATTTGTATTCTCTAGCACCCAACAATAATAGTTCCTTAGTAAATGCTCATGACTGAATAGTGGTAAGAATTTAACATTTGTTTTCCAGACACAAGAAACTAGAGAAATCCTACACTTTCACTATACCACATGGCCTGATTTTGGAGTCCCTGAATCTCCTGCCTCCTTCCTAAACTTTCTGTTTAAAGTTCGAGAGTCAGGGTCCTTGAGCCCTGAATATGGACCTATTGTTGTACACTGCAGCGCTGGGATTGGGAGATCAGGAACATTTTGTCTGGCTGACACATGTCTGTTGCTGGTAAGAGGTTTTTTGCTCAACTGTTTGTGAGAGTCTTAAATACTTGATTATTGGATACTCTTCTCCAAGCACTTTTCCTTTTTTTGTCTGTTGCCTTATGGGTTTTTTTTTTGTATGTTTTACTTTAGGCTTTATCTTCTGCAGAGTTAAAAGCACATTTCTCAGACCGGCATAGCATATGTAGCACAGTGCCTTACACACTGGTAGGCACTTAATTAATGTTAAATTGAATTTATAATTTTTCTTCTGAGAAATAATTATCTTAAGAGGTTTGTTTTTTGAGGAGTTGTTTTTTATTTTGTTTTTAAGGACATCCTCTTCCCTAGCCTTCACTTCTTAACCAAAAGGATAAGGAGATTAGTATTAGTCCCTGTGTTCTCATGTTTGTAATCTTTAAAAATAACTGTCCTCAGTTATTCAAGATTTACTCATTTTCCCATTGTTTCTGTACCTCATTTTCTGTGATCTTTCTATTTTGACCCTGGGACAGTCAATTCATAAACCATGGTTAGATTAACACTGCATACAATAAGTCGTTTGAGAGTTTGTATTGGGCAGATCATTGCTCCCATTTTGGCTTTCAGATGGACAAGAGGAAAGATCCTTCTTCTGTAGACATTAAGCAGGTGCTTCTGGAAATGCGGAAATACAGAATGGGGCTGATCCAGACAGCAGACCAACTGCGTTTCTCTTATCTGGCTGTTATTGAAGGAGCCAAATATATTATGGGAGACTCTTCTGTTCAGGTAAAACACCCTCTGACCTTTGGTAGAATTTTGAGAGATTATTAATCTTTTTCTCCATTTGTTGTCTGCCAGTAATACAATGAAAAAGTATTTACTTTGACAAGGTTTATTGCTGTAAAGCTTGAAAAGACTCTGAACATGCCCTTAAAAGGTGTATTTGAGGTAGTCAATTGAAAGGACAAAAGCTGCTCCTAGGGGAGCTCATGGGGAATCATCGCAAATAGATCCACCTTTTTGTGCAAAAGAATCTTCAATACACTGAGTTTCACTAGGTGAGAAACTGTCATTTAAATAGGTCATATGGAAACTGTTGGCCAGAAGAAGAAGCTTCCATTTCAAAAGATAAATTATATTTTTGATTTACCTGAGCAGTATTGTTTATGTAACATTGAAACAAGGGTTTATTTTTCATTACAAGTAAGCCAAAATGGAAAAATCTAATGTTAATATGACTTTTAATTATTGGTTAAGGAGCAATGGAAAGAGCTGTCCAATGAGGATTTGGAGCCACCTCCAGAGTATACTCCCCCACCACCCAGACCACCAAAACGGATATTGGAACCACACAATGGAAGATGCAAAGAATTCTTCCCAAACCACCAGTGGAAAATGAATGAGATGGAAGCCAAAGAACAAGATGGCCCTATTATAGAAGAAAGCATAACTTCCTTAACTGTACCACTGACCACAGAAAGGTAATTGAGTGTGAGGGAACTCTGGGAAGGAGATGTTTATTTTAAGAACCACAGAGATGAAGGTTGGGGAGAGTTTGTCTTCAGTCTGGCAAGGTGTGCAGGAAGAATGTCTGATCAGACAGAGTCATTCAGAAACCACTACGCCCCTGCTCATAAAATATAATTCATATTAGGTATAGCTTGATGCTTTTTTGAAGCTGAATTCCTAGCGTCACTTCTGTAGACATTCTTTCCAGCTGATAATGGTGATTTTTAGTGGGCTTGAAGTCAGAAGCCTAGGGATCATATCTCAGTTTTGCCAGTTACTAATTGTGTGTGATCTTTCCCTCTCTGGGTCTCCAATTCCTTTGCCTATAAAACAACAGGTTTGGACTAGTTGGTCTCTAAGTCCTCTTACAGCTTTAAACATGTTGGAACATCTGAGTGCAATTCTAAAACACCACCTTCATGTTTTTCTTGTAAATAAATGAAATGGTACTGTTGGTTACAGGTTTCCTGTTAGGTTCTGTTCACCAAAAGGTTGACCTTAGTTTGACACTTTAGAAACCTTGAAAAGTTTAACACTTTATAAGAATGCTGGGTGTGAGTTGCATATACTTGAGGTATTCATACATGATTACATAGTCAAGCTTTATTAATCTAACTCTGATGTTACAGGCTTCCACAAATCTATATTAGAACTGACTGAGAGATTCCTAAAATTCATGGCAGATAGGATACCAGACTGGCACAATAGGAAGATAATAGGAAAAAACATTGAATTTAGGGGGTTTTGGACTAGTTATGTGGCCCAGAAGACCTCTCTTTCATTTTCTGTAAAATGATGGATTTGGGTGAAATTGTCTCTTGTTCCCCTTCAGTTTCTGAAACTTAAGAGTCTCCTGAAATATATTCTTGTCCCCTTTGGACCTAAGGGGAATACATTTGATAACCATAGTTACTAGGTGTCAGTATCACCATAATGTAACTATTAATTATGCCTCTGGATCTAGGTAAAAGAATTTGGTCAAGGTACAAAGGATCATTGCTAGTCTAAATATTTACCTATTGATACCAAAGTTGTAATCAATGCCTGCTTCTAAATTTCTCTCCACTAGTCAAGACACTGGAGTTAGAAGGAGAACTGTTAGTGAACATCAGAATGCCACTTCCACCAAAGAAGAGCCATCCCCAGAAGAGGATGAAGACAATATGGCAACTACTTGGAAGCCCTTTCTAGTCAATATCTGTATGTTCACTGTCCTCACAGCTGGAGCTTACCTCTGTTACAGGGTATGTTTTCATTGATGGACCTGATGGCAGGATGGGAGTGCACAGAAAAAAACATCAGTTGGACTGGTTTCTAATTCACTTCTATGAAATAACTGAGTCATGTCTCAGAAGAAACAAATCTAAGGTTTAAAGTCTGGAACTTTGGTAGGGCTAAAAGAGATAATTAATTGATGCACTAGGGTTTAAATAAGCCCTGTGGTCCCAAGAATAAAATAGTTGAATCTCAGGGCCTTAAAATATTCAGGACTAAGCAGAGAAAATGCCAAATAAGTCTCTCCTGTTTTTGTTTCTTTGTTCATTTTGTTTTTTAAAAGAATAATAGAATTACAACACATTGTTGTTTTTAACCTTTTTGAAAGCCAGTTCTTTGTTTTTGTTCTATTTCTGAAAAAAGACTCGGCAGAAGTAAAACTTGCTTGTACTCTCCAAGTGTTGTAACCGAATCTGCAATTTCTATTTGATTTCCCAGAAGAACCCTCATCTTTTTGAGAATGTCATTTGGTAAGGAGGGGGAGGATGGGAGGAACCATATTATCCTCAGCTACACTTCATCTAGTGTTTAGACTGAGTGGCGGGCAGTGCCTGTGCTGGTTATCTGTTGAACCGCAGCATTCGTTCCCTTTTTACATGGTCTTTACTAAAAATGAAGAAGAAAAAACACAAACCCAGGTTCTGCATTTGCTCAGGGTATTCCTTGCTTCCCCCTTCCCCCGCCCACAATTAGAAATAGTTAATTTCTCAATTGGTACTGTTAAACTCAACCTGCACATGCACATGCTTGTGTTATGCCGTCCCCTGCACATTTGTTTACCTTTTTCCCTTGCAGGGGTTCAGGGAGTTCAACTCATATGTCCACCAGCATTTTAAAGGCCTCTGTTAGTATTTAGAAAGACTAGTCTTCACATGATTTGGACTATAAATTGCAGTTTTCTTATAAATACACTTTGTAAAGTTGGCTGCTGTTAAAATGAGGGGCAGAAAAATGCTCTAGGATTCACATGCAACACCACAAACCATTAGAAAATAGTTGAATGAATACAGAGCCCTGTTCCACAGCAGCCACCTGGAAAGGAGTCAGATCAGGGACTGAGCAAAACGCAAGCAGTTTTCCTTTGGCTTTGGGGTTGTTTTTCTTTGCTTTAGAAAACAGATGTCCGTAATGGCTTTATTTTGGCTCAGCTCTTTGCTGTGAACATTGTCAGGTGGTGTAGGTGGGTTAGTGTGTAAGTCTTGCATCTCCACAGACACCTGGGTTCTGGGCTTAGTTCGTTTGATAATGATTGGTTTCATTCCACTTCCTGTTCTGCAGCATGTCAGAAAACTCTGTTCTGCCCAAATGGCAGTCCCTGCTTGTAGGAACAGCAGCGGCATAGCAGCAGTTAAGGGCTAAGAAAGCCAGGAGGCAGAAGCTTGCTCTCACTCAGGCTGTGTCTCTTTTGTTGTAGTTGGTGGTGGTGTTCAGCCCTGGCCCTAGCCACCCCTCTGCCTTTTCCCCCACACGTACAGAGTCCAGTTTCTCAAGGAGAGTGAAAGAATGCGGTGGTGCAGATAAGCAGAAGGGGCACAATAGAGTACTTATAGTTGCAGTAGCCGGTCCAAGACACTAGATCTTGATCTGCAATGGTGCCACTAACTGGTGCTTTTTAATGCATCCTAGTCATGGAAGCACTTCAACACCATTTTCAGCCAACCTTTTATGGAGTATATTGTGTAATGAATCTTTTCACTCCATATTTATTTTTCCCCCAATGGTATCCATAGCTCTAGCATTTTCTTAAACTGATAATGTGTTTAAAAAAATTTTTTTTAACGTCAGCCTTGCATCAAGGGCTTATTGGAAGTACAATAATAAATCTTCAGGTAGTGCTGAGAATTTAAGACATACCTGATAGGCTGTGGAATCCATCCAGTACTTGAAAAGAAGAAGATTGTAAGCAGTCATTATTGAGTAATATTGTGGTTTTCATTAGAAGAGATATTGGGATATGTTTATAGAACAATGGTATCATAATATATAATGAACATTTGTGTATTTAAGAGACAGTATGTGATTACTTTGTCCCAGTTACTTTCCCTAGAGTATTGTTCTCAAGCAACATTTTCCCCATTTGTATTAGAATGCATGTAAGGTCGTCTTGTGTCCTGATTAAATACCACGTGCTTGAAGGTGAAAGAACTTATATTTCTGCTTACTGATGTGCCCACACATACAGTCAAATTTATATTTGCATGATCTGATTGTTAAGTGGCTGTGGTTCACAAGGCTGTTGCTGAAAATGTCTTCATTCAGCAATAGATTGATAGATATTTATCCAATAACAGATACTTGCCTAATTATTAGGCATGACTTTCTATTCAGTTTTATTCAGTAACCCAGGTTATCATACCTTACATCAACTGAGTAGCAACTATACTACAGACATTCCAAGTGTATGATAAGCCCTAATCACACCTCACCCACTAGTCATCTCAGGCAGTCAGTCTCCCCGCTGACCTTTGACGGTATCATTTACTGCTCCAAATTCAAAAACATATCCTGGAGCAAACCATTATTTGGAATGAAGGCTAAGTAAAGAACATAGCAGTTAATTGTTTACTGTGGAGCGCTCTGGCAAACTGGATCTTTTAATATAGTGGCCTATATACAGTTAACTGCAGTATCTTTCCTGTTTGGAAGTATTAATTCTAGTCTTGGTGGGAATCCCTCACCCCACCTTCCAAACACACATACCCACCACACACAACAACAAAACCCTGTCAGCCCTCCACAGTGATTCAGTTATACTCATAGCTACTCCTTTGAAGGAAATCATAAGGTCTCCATGTTATGACTTTAATTTTTCTAAATGAAGGGAAATGGAGAGGGTAGGGGGAGGTGGCTGCAGCTATTCTGCTGGTCTTTACCAGCAATTTCACATTTTGCCTTTGACCAGTTGGATGCCATTGAGGATTCTACTGTAATGAGAAGAGAGTAAAATAGCCCTACGGAGTATTAGTGAGGTGTGTCTAAGGCTTATAATGCCAAACTGTAAGCATCTTTTTCTCAAGTCCTGTATATGTATGTAGTAGTTTGGGTGTGTATATACAGCAAGTAGAATTTCAAAATGGGTGTATTGGTTAACCGCCTATTCTTGGAAAATGGATGGCTATCCATCTTGTTAAACGTATGTTAGAAAGTTAGTGAGCTGCTAATGCTATATGCCTTAAGCAAATATTTACTCATCAGGTCTTTCTTTTTTTACCAATGGCCATAGAATAATACCATTTTTACAAAAATAAAAATAAACAAAAAAGCAAAATGTTTTGGTATAATACATTTTAATGTATCTCTCTGCCTCTGTGTGCATGCGTGTGTGTTGGGGGGGGCGGTGGAGTGGTGAGTGTGTGCAAGATTCTACAATGACCTCACAGGTTTAAGTGAAATTGTACAGTTTTACAACTTCCCATGCAAATAAATGATGGGTTCTCATTTTAGTTGCAACAATAAAACGTTTTTTTAAAGAATATGCATTTGGCCTGCTTCCCATTTCTTTGTTGAAGGGACCGCACCTTGTTGATCTTCTCTGTTGAAGTGAAGCACATTCTTCTGTTTAAGGACAGCTGTGGTTGCCTTAAGTCTCTTTACAAGCTATCTCCAATGCTAAGGTGAGTTCAGTTGTTCTCTGAACTTTTTAAAGGACGCCTTGATAGGAATGTTTTTGGCTTTATCTTATAGATGAGTCAGAGGGTAGAAAGGACCTTTGAAATACTTTGGTTCATTCATTCATTTAACATATTAAGTACCAACTATGTGCCAGGCCTTGTACTAAGTGCTAGGCACAGTCTGGTCCTCTCCTCTTTCAAGGAGACTTAATGCCCAAAACAGTTAAGTGACTTGCCCAAAGTTTCAAAAGCAAGTAGTATTGGAGCCTGACTCAACATCGACCTTATGACTCTAAAATCCAGGGCTCTTTCCCTATGTTATAGCAATAAATAATAATGCATATGTACTTTCTCTCCTCAGTATTTGCTGTGTACTAATGGTGTAGTTGAAGCAACAAGTAAAGCTCAAGCTCTTGGTGCCTTAAAAGGAAGAAAGGGCAAATCCTTTCCCTTCTGAACATCAGTTTCCCTTATCCGTAAAATGAAGACTCTGAGCTAAGGCTCAACCTTCCTTCTGTCTTTGACATTTGGCCCTGTGTAATATGGAAATGGATCCACGAAACAGTCTTCTTTAATGTGCTTTTATAGCTTGGTTATTTTGAAATTATAGTAAATATGTATTCAGTTGATGGAACAGAGGGCTTGCTAAGCTAATAAGATTTTCTTCCCCCCTGGAGAGTTAGTGTTTCTCTGCCTTGCTTTTCAGGACAAAATTAATTGCATAACCACTTTGAGATTTTTATTGTTTTAATTAAAACTTTACAGAATTGAATATGTGAAGTCACAAAAATAAATATCCAATGAAAATAAAATCACAAAGTATATACAAGTGAGAGTAACTGAGGTTTCCTAAAGCTTCTGTTATGGAGCTTTCCAAGGGCTACTGTTCCTTGGAGACATTTATTGATACACATTAGGCATAGGCATCATATCTGAATCATCATATATGTTTGGGTTTGGGGGGGATTTTTTCAGTAGGAAAAGTTATCTATTTTTGTCTTTCTTCAAGAAGCCTATGCTACCTCTTTAAAAACAACCAACTTTGTGGGTTCCAAACCAATTCAACTAACAGCCTGGCTGACCCCTGCTGGAATTATATGTTCAAAGGTTTCCCTCAATGATAGTTTTTCCCTCCTTTTAGCCTTGTATCCTTAATGGTATAACTGAATATGGCAAAAATATGCTTTATAAATAATCTATATTCCTATCGTAGTCAAGATTCTACTCTAGCACTTCAGCATAAAAGAAAGCAGTCAAACATATTTGGATATGATTTTCTGTTTTTCAATCTTAGATTGCTCTTTCAAGACAGAGATTTCTACTAGATCAATTGTACCAAGACATAGACACCCTATCTCCCCCACCCCTTTCCTTGTCAAGGGGTCAGGTTGACTACCCTCCTCCCTGGACTATGGTCTTCCTCCTTCATTAGTAAATCAGACGTGCAAGACTTTTAGCTCAGCACCTAATGATTGATTCCCCATTATCTTGGCTTTTTACTGTACTCCCCTTCTGGTCTTGGAGTTTGGGGCTTTGGCTTTGCTGTAGCTGGGTCAGAGGCACCCTTTGCAGTCTCAAGCCAAGAGAGATTCTGGGAAAGGTCATTCAGGATCTTTACCAAAGGGTGTGGACCATATCTGTCCACTGATTTTTCTCTATTTCTGGTCAAAACGTAATCTCTTGGGCTTTAGTTTTTGTTTGTCACAGGCCATATTCCTGCAAGAAGCACAAGTGTACATTCCCAGACTCTTCCTCTAATGAGTTTGTGCTGCAACAACCCACCAGTGCCAATATTCAATCTTCACATGACAGGACAGTGGAAGAACAGATTCAGAATCTGGGCTTAGCCTGTGGGGCTATTTAAAATATTGTAATTTCAATATCCGCCTCCTGACATAAGGTTTCTCTGACTTCAGAGCAAATTTTATCCATCTTCTCAAAAGCCAAACGTCCTTTTTCACCTGTATATATATATATATATATAAATAAGATAATGTATCATTGATAGAAACATCAGTACTCCCATCCCCAATCTTGTTTTTTTTCTACACTCCCCCCAAAAAAAAACCCCAAAACTTCATAGTGGGGACAAAACTCTGGATTCATTTATAGAAGCAGCCTAGGTTGGAGCTTGGGGAAGAGATGTATCTGCAGCCCTTGCCTGACATTTTTAAACAAGTTAAGGGTCCTAAAGTCTCAGCACCACACACACAGGACTAGGATTAAGTAGCTTTTGAGTTTTCATCCTTATTCTCATATGACTTTAATGAAGGGTAATAAGTTCATTTTTAAAGGAAGAATAAAACATTTCTTATCCTCATGGCTGTTCTTCAAAACAGTTGCCTTAGTTAAAAATATTAATAATAGTTAATGAGTCATCATTGCAACTGCCACAATTATTCCCATTACCTAGTTGAAAAATTTTTAAGCAGTCAAATTGCAAGAAACTCGTGGGTGAGATTCAGCACTTGAAACAGGCAAATAGATGCAGGTTACACCTGTTTGTGGCTTTCTACTTTTCCCCCAAGAGCTCTTAGTACCCTTAACCAGGATGGAAAAGCTTTAGGCTTCCTAAAACATCTGCTCAGTAGCTTAGTTTTACCAAATGATAGTGTTGTCTCCCGTGCTGCTGTCCTCACGTCTTCCAAATCAGACTGACATAAACTTGCAATCTGATCAATACTTTCCATTCCCTAGGTGAACAAAAGAAACTTTTTAAAAAATAAGATCAGTTTAAAAAATACATAGGCATCTGTAACTTGAGGTGCAAGTCCAGGTCAGTCCAGGAATTCATCCCAGTGAGGGTTTTTGAGGACAATTATTCATTGAAAATTTCTATAACATTGTCCTCTTATGACGGTTAGAAGCTCACAGTATTTATTCTTTATCAGAGCCTTTGGAAGTATCTGTCTCAAATCAGTTGAAGCTTTACCAGTATGCCCTTGGCTATAGTAGCTTCTGAACACAGGATGAGAATCAAATGAGGCAATTATAAAGTACTTATCATGGTACCAGGCATATAGTAAGCTCTACACAACTCTTAGCTATTATTATTACTCCTGTACCAGGTAGTAAGTAGAATACTGAATATGGCATCAAAAGACCTTGCGAGTAAAGTACCTCCGCTCTGGGCCATTATTTCCTGCTCTCTAAAATAAGAGTCATAATACTGGCTTCCTCACAGGACTAAGAGGATCAAAAGAGGACAGATCTGAAAATGTTTTTATACTAAGTAAACTACATGAACATCAGCCTCATTAACCATCTCTATTGTTACTACAACAGGGAAGCAATTAACTAAGATCATTTCCAGGGAAATTGTTTCTATTAGTGTATGCCTTAATTACTTTGGCATCGCCTTGTTAGTGTTCTTGGTCAGCTTTGTGTGATTCTTGCCTTCCCAAGTGCTGAAAACTCTGTAGTGTTTGCTCCCCCTGCTGGTTAACTCTACACTAACACAGTTGTGCAATGTCTGTGAATCATCCATCTTTGGACTCCTTCAGTATCTGACTGGATCTCATAGAATTTCTTATCTCTTCAGGTTCCCAACCCAAATTCATGAGGCTAAGTTCTCAGTGAAGTTTCAAAACAGATAAGCCTAGAGTTTGAAGTGAACCTTAGAGGGCCCTCTAAGGTTTGAATTGACCTTGATCCCCCTCTTAAATAACTCTTTGGGATTCTTTGTTCAATCAAGTATTTGTTAAAACATCTATGTGCCAGGCAGTACGCTAGGCATCAGGGATTTAAAAATAAAATTGAAACCCTTGCCCTAGAGAAACTTAAAGTATTATAACAATCACTATTATTACTAATCATAATAGCCGGGGCATTTATTTGATGCTTTAAAGTTTTGCCCAGTACTTTACAAATAGCTCATTTTATCCTCACAATAACCTTGCGGGGTAAGTACCAGTTAAGTTATTTTCCCTGGACCCCACAGCTAATAAATGTCTAAGGCTGGAATTAAACAAAAGTCTTCCAGATTCAAGGTCCAGTACTTTATCCACTGTGCCATCTAGATACCTATAACCAAGGGAGATTACATATACATAGATAGATACCAAATAGATATGAGAATGAGTGGAGGAAAGCAGTAGCAGCTGAAGAGGACCAAGTTAGGAAAGAGTAGAGAGTGGAGCTTGAGCTGAACTCTGAAAGAGTCTAGGGATTCCAAGAGGCGGAGGTGAGGAGGGAGGCCAGGGCTTTGCAGGCACTGAGCAGCTAATGCGGAGGCCAGGAGATTAGAGTGGGGGTGGGGGGCAGAATGCCATCTGTGAAGAACAGTCAGAAGACCAGTTCTCATGAAATAATAGTGCATTTTAAATCCTCAAAATGCTATAGGTTGCCACAGAAGATATTCCCCAAAATGGAACTTTTTCCCCCCTGCCTCCTGTCAATCCCCAGTCAGTAAAGAAATTGGGTTTACTTACTTTGAGATACTTTAGAGCCAAACATGACGCTCGTTGGAGTTTTGCATCAGTGTCTGAGAGAATACTGGTATAGAAAAGGAGTGCCTAAAAAGAAAGAAAAGGAGTACCCCTCAGACACTTAACACTTACTAGCTGTGTGACCCTGGGCAAGTCACTTAACCCCTATTGCTCATCAAAAAAAAAAAGCCAAAAAGAAAAGGAGTACCTAGAGAACAGTGGATTGCTGTTGAACTACCAGAAGAAAATCTGCTATTGTTTCACTGTCAAACACCTGATCTAGAGCTATATCAGTTGAGTGGGGTAGATAAGAAAATAGTTTATCCAAACATTTATGGTAAGTCAGTCTGTCTTTCCTTCCCCCCTCACCCAGAAACCACAATCCATAATCTTTGAGCCAGAGACACACAACACATGTTCATTAATATATTCAAGGTTTCCTAGAAATTATTGCCCCTGGGATGTCTTGCAGTGCTGAGTCAGACAGAGTGTCTAGAAGAGTCCAATTTCATTTTTGTGATGGTGAAATTCTGCTAACAATCCTTTAGCCCACTTGATAAGAATATCAAGAAGCATTTCTAAATAGCATGTTATTGAAAGTTAAGACCAGAGAAGTCAAGATTTTAGCTCCTGAGTATGATGTATACATGACACATAAAAGTTATTCTATCAGTAATGTTGTCTCAGCAAACCTCCCTGTTGGCCATGCTACCCCTAAGAGCTGATAGAGCCAGCCAGTGGTTAGAGTACAAAGGAGAAACCTTTGCATCTAGAAGTTGATAGTGGATCTTTTTCACTGGAATTTTTTTCAATAGAAATAGTCTTCTAGCTGTTTCTCGTCATCCGCACCCTAATTCCTGCTAACCATTTAGGGAGAAGAATCAGAGAGGGGGAGAATTAGCCAAGTGGAAACAAACTTGGCTCTGCAGAAAAAATAGGCCTGAGTCCATAGATACCTTTGCACCAATCACTAACCTCCCTGTAACAATGGAAGGATCAGGAAGCTTAATCCATGTTTAGAAACATAAACCTTCTGTAGCTTCCCATAACCTACCTAAGAAATTTAATTCCCTGACTAGCATTCAAGACCCTCCACAGTAGGACTGTAACTTGAGTTTCACTGTTACGCTCAGAATAAACTCACTTTCACGTTAAAGGCCAAATTCAAAAGTTTCCGCTGTCCCTAGGTGAAAGGGCATATGTGTGTGTGTGTGTGTGTGTGTGTGTGTGTGTGTGTGTGTCATATCTTCCTCCTGCCCCATTGGACAGTGAAAAGGGTTTGTGTTGTTTTTTTATCTCTAGCTACCTAGCACAGTGCCTTCCATATAGTTGTCACTTAATAGGTGTCTGAAATCAATTAAATGGAAGTAAACATAGCTTATAGGAAAGATGAAGACACCAA